TTTTTGATACAGGGTCTCACTCTGTCACCCAGGCTGGAGTGCAGTGGTTTGATCTCAGCTCACTGCAACCTCCATCTCCTGAGTTCAAGCTTGGGATTCTCCTGCCTTAGCCTTCCAAGTAGCTGGGACTGCAGGAGTGAACCACCACACCTGGCTAATTTTTGTATTTTTGGTAGAGCTAGGGTTTTGCCATGTTGGCCAGGCTGGTCCTGAACTCCTGATCTCAAGTGATCCTCCTGCCTCGGGCTCCCAAAGTGTTGGGATTACAGGCATGAGCCACTGCACCTGGCCAATATATGTAATTTATAAGTTAATATAAATAATAGATTTATTACATATATAAGAAGAGACTCATTTTGAGGAATTGGCTCACACAATCATGGAGTCTGAGAAATCTTCTAATCTGCCATGTGCAAGCTGGAGACCCAGAGAAGCCAGTGCTGTAATTCAGCCTGAATCCAAAGGGTTGAGAACCAGGGGAGCCAATGGTATGAATCCCACTCTGAGGGCAGGAGGATATGAGATGAGATGTCCCAAGCAGTGAGAGAGGCAGGAGAAAAGGGAGCAAATCCCTCCTTCTTCCTTTTGTTCTTCCTCTTTTTGTCCTCAGTGGATTAAATTATATCCCACTATGTCAGGGAGGGCAATCTATTTTACTGAGTCCACCTATTTAACTACCCATCTTATCCAGGACACCCTCCCAGACACACCCAGAACCAGTGTTTGATCTGGACACCCCATGGCCCACTCAAGTTGACACATACAATTAAACATCACAAGTTGGATTATTTTTTTCTTAAACTGAAAAATGCAGATAAAGCTCAGAACTTTGGTATTTACCAATGATTCATTTCATGCAGTCCCAAGTTAAGCACACAAGCTCCTCTGAGATTATTTAGAGATTTTATTTTGTTCTAGTTCTTACAGAGTACATTATTTAAAAATAAATTTGCCCCAAATTTTGAAAGCAGTTTTTTCAGATCTCCGTTGGCTTCTGATTTGAGTTAGGCATGATCTTTGTTTAAGGCAGTTTTCTAATTTTCTCTTAATTCTTCCTTTAGGAATTAGCATTCACAACATTTCTTCTTCCTTTTCCACACCTCCACTCTCCCTCAGTTCTCTTCCCTTCTTCAGTTGCGGGTGTCAAAGTCCTGGGGTTGGCATAAATGACGTTAAAGGAAACCAATTGGGTTTTCTAAGATTCAGCGTTGACTCCCCTGATCTCCAGAGGAATCCCCACATTGACAAGTTACTGTCTTCTCATTTCACAAAACATAGTTATTGTTAGAGAGAAGAAGTAAGTGAGGAGCTGGGAGTGGATAGCTGTAGTGATACAGCAAGAATGCTTCAATGCTGAGAGTAAAAAACAGTGGATGTGAAGAAGAAAAAAGGTGCATATTATGAAGGAAGCAGCATCAGAATATGCCAATGTAATGCACAGGTAAACATGCTTGTTATAGGGGAATGCTATAATGGTCTTGGTTAAGGTAAAGTTGTGCAGATGAGTTCCAATGTCATCTCAACCACTCCTTTATTTTGTAAAGTGAGAGCTGAGACACAACCTCTGTGGTTTAAGAAGAACTGATCTAATTACAGTCAGGTGATTGGGAATGGAAATCTGCCACAGCACTTTGAGGAAGAATTTGTCAGATCCCCATCCCCCAATATTAAGCAAGCTCTTAAAATCGTAAATCTAATGATACTACGAAGTGTGTTTTGATATTTAAATCAAAGGACATTTCACGGTAATGGCTCCACAGCTGAGCAAGCCCATATTTGCTGAAAAATTTTATCTATTTAGAAGTCACTGGATTTCAGATAAACCAAAAAGCTGCCATTCAACATGGCAGCTGAAACAATCACTTTATGGAATAAAACAATAGGGCTCATGTTAGAGCTGTGACCCAGGTTTGAAAATTAATGTCATTTTGTTATTCCTCTTAAGAGCTGATCTTTTCCTTTGAGTTGCTCTTCACAGCTTCTGCTAAGTGGCTTTGTTGTTGGATTTCAGGGTTTGGCGCAATATTCCGTGCTCTTTTATGGCTATTATGACAATAAACGAACGATTGGATGGATGAATTTCAGGTTACCGCTCTCCTATTTTCTAGTGGGGATTATGTGCATTGGATACAGCTTTCTGGTTGTCCTCAAAGCGTAAGTTTCATTTGTCTTTTGGGAAGCAAATAATGATTCCTGGAATCAAACGGAGGGATTAATTTGGGGATTGGATATAATTTTGTTGCTATTTTATGTCTAAAGGAAACAGAGTCTATAAGAGATGAAATATAGTTTTAATACCAACAGTAATGTTAGACTATTACATCTTCTAAAGAATTGAACATAAACACAGGCCTTGAGTCATCTCATGGGGTCAGACCAATGCTTACATGCCTATCTTATGTTTAAACATAATTTTCAAATGTGCATTTTTGTACTTGAAGGTGTGAATTAATGTTGCCAGCAAGACAGGGAAACAGCTGCTGGCCCCTCTTTTGTATGCAGAGAGGTTTGTAACTTGCAGAATCAGCTCAATAGGCAGAATCTATTGTTCTCTGCTCATTTTTATAAAACCAGAATAATCACCCATCCAAAAAATTTTAGCTGTGTAAGACAGCAAAAACGAATGGTCCCCAATGAAACCATCACAATCAACTGTATCATCATGGTTTGTCTTGGGAAAGGATTTATTAGAGTATGGGGAGGAATTTCACTAGAGAACTGATATTACTGCAGTTCATTTTTGCCCCTGCCTAAAATATATTTATAATACTCAAAGACTGCAGAAGCCTAGCAGAGTTATTTGGGTTTATATATTTAAAAAATTTCCCATTAGCCAATTTGTTTTTGAACTAGTTTATGAGGAGAGTTGAAACATCTCAAGTAACGTCTCCATTCTTTTATTTGACTATGCACAGGGTGAATGAGCTTTTTGCCTCATTGTGAAGGGCCCTCCACCTGAAGGTGTTTGAGGGAGAAAGTGCACAGTCACCCTAAGCAGGAACTCTCTGAAGCAGTCTGTGACATACTTTGTGTCCTAAACCTGCCTCGCTTACTGGTTCCTCCAGAGAAAACTGCCATATTTGGTTTTTAAGCTCTTTCAGGACATGAGTACACATTAGTTATTCCTGTTGGATAGATGGAGAAATTAAGGCTAAGCAGAGTTTGAGGATATGACTAAGTTCAAATACTCAGTAACTTGCAGAACTGAGCTTTGAATACCTTCCTTTAATTCCAACACTTAGTTTTTCCAACTTCTGATGTGGATGCATCTATATTGATGATCAATATAGATTGATGTCTCTGTCTTATCCTGGGTAGCCTTTTTATTTTTAAAACTTCTGTATTAAAATAGTTCCTTATCTGTTGTCAAATTCCCTTAGAGTTTTATGGCCTTGATATGGCTCAGGTGACCAAACACTTTGTTAAAAAAAAAAATTAAACCTGTCAAACCCAAGTTCTTCTTCTATATGACTCTTGCATATTCCAAGATATATCATGGCCAGCTTCACACATACCATTTCTAAATCAGTGAAACTTTATTTTCTCCCTCCTACTTAGATCATCAGTGTCTTTGTCCATTTCCTTTTTACGTCTTTGGTACTTGTTTACCCAGACAGCTGTGATCTACCTGATACTCTTCCTAAGTGTCTTCCATGTCTCTTGACAGCCCTAATTTCTTAACATTGAAATTGTTTCTTTTGCCTCCTCACATTCCCACCCCCAATTAATTTTTTTCTTTGTCGAAGGAATTTCTCCTTATCTATTTAGTAGAAAGTAGTCAGAGTCCCTCATAGACCCCAATCTAATATTTTACTTCTCAGAGATCTTTTCATTAAAGATCATAATGTTTGATGTTTGTAATGATGAATTTCAGACCCTAGAGAAGGTTATGTAAGGATAAGTGGACCTAGCCTACAGGGCATGATATTCTGGCAAATCCCACAAAACACACGATTATCTCATCTTCTTCAAACTATAGTTGAACTTGTTTCAAAAATGCTTGGAGCAGAAAAGCAATAAGGTACGAAAGACATAAAGTCACCACCTTCCATTTTTTATTACTGCTCTATGACCTGCATCTAGATTATAAACCTCAACATGAAAAACTTCTCTTGTAAGCATGGACTAATAAGGATAGTAGTAGTTCACAATGAATGGCAGCTATTTACAAAGTGAGGCAATATTGTCAAAACCTATCATAATGACAAAGACAGAACTAATAGTAATAGCATAACAAGCGTATGTGGCATGCATTTATTATATGTATTCCGCCATGCAAAAAAGCAATTTATGCCATATGTATTTACTTGGTGAGGCTTTTTCCAGTGCTAAGTTTACTTCTAGAATGACAATTCATGTATTCATTCATTTAATTACTATTTGTGGAGCACCTAGCATGGGTAATCTAAGAGAACTATCCAGTACCTGGGTATTTCATGGCAAGCAAAATAAAGTCCTTGCCCCTGTGCTGCTCAGTTGGGGAAATATTGTAAACAAAGAAATGACCGGTAGTTTTGGCCAATATAGTATAATTTCATATTTTTGTGATCCTCTGCAGTCAAATATTTGCTATACTTTCTTCATGCTCAAGAATTTTAAATAGGTGAGAAGAGCAAAGATGGCTACCAGATACAGCCAGGAAGAGTTTCTCCCACTGAGAAACCAGACTATTAAGAAGATTGGCACACTCGAAGCAGATCATCAGAAGGGAGGCATTGAGAGTAGATGGAGGGAGGATGTAGACTGTGCTGAAGTTGGAGGAAGCTTGAAATGCTAGGCTTAAGAATAAGTTACAGGACTCATTCCTGGCCCCAAGTAGCTCCTGGGGAAGGGAGAGTTAAATAGGTGTGGAGTTGCCCACTCTCATCATGGACCTCCATAATTCTAGCTGCGGGAGACTCCATGACCCCCATGGATATTTGAACTGATAGGGAGAGCTGCTTGAAGAGTTGGCAGGGACAGAACTCCAGACTGTGTGGAGTTCAAAGGATTTGGCAAAGGAAGGACTGTAGTAGAGCACAGCCAAGGACACCCATCCCTGAAGGCTGACCATGCTCCTGTAAGCTTTGGCCTTTGTTGACTGTCAGACCCATACAGAGCAAAGCTGTCTTGACCATGGAATGGGCCATTCTAGTCTGAGTGCCTCCCTTGTCTGCCAGCCTTTCCTGAGGCTCATACCTGGCTGTGCCCCCTTGCAGCACAGCCTTGGATGCCCAATTGGGACACTTCCTGAAAGCCACCACCATAGCTTCTTTGCTGGCAGACCCCACCCAACTGTTAGAGAGCTTCTGAAGACAAACCTCCACACACACACACACACACACCTGCAGCCTTCCCCCACTGCTTTGCCAGCATGCAGACATGCATGGACCCTGCTGCTCTGTTGCCACTGGCATATGAACAGAGACCCCACTGCCACTGTCCCAACAAAGTAGTCTTGCTGGCAACCCTCATTGGAATGTTGTTGTTCACAGACTGGGAATACCTCAGCACCTTCAGCACCCCAGGTATTTAATCTTGAGGGGCCAGAGAACAAAGCTGTGTGCCTGGTCCTGTATCACCAGGTTACAGCACACAACCCAGGAGTGCTGAACTGAGGCTGGGTCTCCTGAAATCAGCCAGAAATGAAACCAGTTGACTAGACCCAGTTTACATCACAGTCAAACCCTCAAAGGCATCAAAGAATATAAAAGCAAAACGCCCCATCCAAGAATTGCAACTTCAAAGATTAAAGAAACATTAACTCACACAAATGAGAAAGAACCAGCAAGAGAACTGGGGCAACTCAAAATGCCACAGTGTGTTCTCACTTTCAAATGACTGCACTAGCTCCCCAGCAATACTTCTTAATCAGACTGAAATGAATTCAGAATCTAGATGACAATAAAGATTGTTGAGATTTAGTAGGAAGTTAAAACCCAATACAAAGAACCTAAGAATCCAGTAAAACAATACATGAGCTGAAAGACAAAATAATCATTTTAAGAAAGAACCAAGCTGATCTGATACAGCTGAAAAGCCCATTACAGTAATTTCATAATACAGTTGGACGTATCAGCAGCAGAACAGCATAAGCTGAGGAAAAAAATCTCAGAGCTCAAAAATGGTTCTTCAGATTGACTCAGTCAGACAAAACTAAAAAAGAAAGAATAAAAAAGAATGAACAAAACCCTCAAGAAATTTAGGATTATGAAAAAGACCAAACCTATGACTCACTAACATCCCTGAGAAAGATGGAGAGAGACCAAGCAAGTTGGAGAACATATTTGAGGGCACTGCCTATGAAAATTTCCCCATCCTCACTAGAGAAGTCGACATTCAAATTCAGAGAAGCCCTGCAAAATCCTGTACAAGATGACCATCCCCAGAACACAGCCCTCAGATTCTCCAAGGTCAAAGCAAAATAAAAAAGTATTAAAGGCAGCTAGAGATAAGGGGAGGGCCACCTACAAAAAGAACCCATCACATTAATGGCAGAACTTTCAGCAGAAGCCCTACAAGCTAGAAGAGATTGGGGCCTATATTCAGCATCCTAAAAGAAAAATTTCATCCAAGAATTTCATATCCAGCCAAACTAAGCTTCATAAGCAAAGGAGAAATAAAATCCTTTTCAGATAAGCAAATGCTGAGAGAAGTCATTACTACCACACTTGCCTTAGAGAGGTCCTTAAGGAAGAGTTAAACATGGAAATAAAAAACTGTTACCAATCACCATAAAAACACACATAAATAGATAGACCATTGATACTACACAATCAAGTCCACATAACAACCAACTACCAACATGATGACAGAATCAAATCTTCACATATGAATATTCACCTGAAATGTAAATGAGCTAAATGCCACATTCAAAAGGCACAGAATGGCAAGTTGGATCAAGAAGCAAGACCCAACTGTACGTTGTCTTCAAGGAACCCATCTCACATACAGTGACACCCATAGGCTCAAAATAAAAAGATTGATAAAAATCTATCAAGACATAAAGAGATTGATAAAAATTGTTTGAAATAAGAACAGCAAGCTCTTCCCTTTTTTGTTTTCATGTTTGTAGTTTGGAAGAATCAATATTGTTAAAATGGCCATACTGCCTAAAACACTTTATAGATTCAATGCTATTCCTGTTAAAGTATAAATGATTTCTTTTTTTTACA